GAGTGAATTTGAGGCTGTCTACTGATTTTGCATAACACTGACATAAAATATCGCTTATTTTAGTTTTTCTTGTTTCCGAAAATAGGTTAGTCGTTATCTCAGACGACTTTAGACAGCACTGCTGGCGTCATTTTGCCCCTAACAAGCTTTTACCAGCTTCCTACTGAGGTTCCGCTGAACTTTTGAAAGTTGAGTTTTGCTAAGTGAATTAAGTCCGCCAGTATGTATAACTGTGTTTTATTGGCTGCTGACAGCGTTTGCGTCGCATCCTCGGCTAATTTTTAGTCTTCTAACGATGGTGGCGTGACTTCCAAGCAGTGCATAGATACACTTTCTACAACTTAAGCAAATTGTGAAAATTTAGAAACTCGCACAACTAGAAAACTCCTGTCGCTAGGTGGAATCGAACCTCGCAAATTCGTGACAGGAATCGCCGGCGACTGAGTCGTTGAGGGCAGGCCTAACAGTTGTGTAAGCAATCATTACTTCCCTACTTCTGACCAGCAAACCCTGTATAACCAGTTTACTTGCGACGGCATAGCTCACTTGGGCGTGCTACTTGCAGCACAAGCCCTGTTGGTCCCCGAATAGCAGGAAGAAGGGGATGGCTTTTAAGTAGTGTTTGTCGCACAGAACATGGTATGTGCAGCTATAACAGTGTCCTTCATCCTAAGCGAGTAGACCGATCCATTCGGCACGGCGAGAAGGAATCAATTACCGTGTCCCTCGAATATGTCCGAACCCATTTGGCAACCAAACGACTTGACTGTTTCCTATCCTAGGCTAGTGCAGGCATTCGGAGCCCTCGTCGGACACAGGAAAAGCACCCCCTCAGGTGGGCTCCTTCTAAATTCCAGGGGTACCTCTGCTAGCCTCTTAAAGGTAGCCTCATATCGTCTAACTCCGACCCTAACCATCTCAGCATTAACCCTACTCTCCTAACCCCTAAACTGCCTCTAATCCTAACACTAACACCAACCTCGGTCCCCAGAATTTAGGGCAAAACAATCTCTGAAAGGGGGAAGCATGCACCCGTGTCCAACCAAGTCCTCTACTGGTGACCTGTGTCCCCTCAGTCATTCGGGGGCATTGGGCGCCCCGAAGAAGATCGGCACACATAGGACCTCACAGCAACCTACGTTCTCAGGACGCCTTCGCTGGTTATAAACTATGCTTTGGAACTGTTCATGGTCATGTTTAAATCGTCAGGAGTGATGAGATCCAGAGCACCGAAGAGGACGCAAAAGTGACTAATCTAGGCATGACTCCCGGCGGGGCAAACTTGAGAAGCGGTAGTTTTTACATCCGGCTACACCAAGAAGCTTTCAATGACGTAATGGCAGGATCACCATCTTGCTAACCAGAATGCCAGGGTCCGGATTCACGTCTTGTGGACTGTTTCCTGGCGCCTCACTCCTAACTCATCGTTTCCTGCCTTTACGTGAAAGGTTTAGGAAGCGGGCACCACGCGCTAGCTTAAGTCCCAGCGAGCATTGACAGGTTGGAACAGTTGTCTACCGTTTCTTTACCTCCTTCAAGTAGCCACATGCTTCAGGCCAGGAGAGAAACTGGAGTTTTGAGCCCTAGTAAGTCATCTCAGGCCAAAGCAAAGCGCAGTGCACCACCAACCGCCGCGGCATTACCGTCGGGTTGGAAATCATTGCCTGACCCGACTTCCGGACGGTCATGAACGCTCCGACTTTGTCTCCCTCCCCCCCCCCCCGCTATACCGTTTTTAGAGGCCCAGGTACCGGCGTACCGGGTAAAAAGTCAGCGGACGGACTGACTACAGGAGTCCGCTGCGTCCCGCCGTCGGCAAGTTAATCTAGAGGCAAGGCCAGTGCTGCTTAGCGTTGTTTTGCTCACTTGCGATGCTTGATTTTTCGTCTTTGAGTGCCCGGCTGCTCTCTCTCTCTCTCTCGGCAGCATACAACCATGACCCTCCACGGTAGCCGTCGACAGTCCAACCAGTTATCTCGCAGAGATATTGTTACAACCCCCCTCCTCCCCCCCTCCCCCCTACTTCCTTCAAACGCATCATTTGCATGTGTAACATCGTTCACTTTTTGACTGTCAGCTATTCTTTGACAACCAAAACTATTTTAAATCAATAGTATAACTTCCAGATACATCTAATCCACTTACTGTATGTGCCCGATGTCATATTTAACGGCCCCGTTCGGCATATTTCCAACACGCTGTGTCTTATCCCGCCTCTGGTCTTGTTGACGATGCCTTCGCACTGGACTGAGGGGGGTGGGGTAGGACATATAATGCGGTAGACGTTGCGAAAGTCCTCTGTCAGCATATACAAATTCATCCGCAAGCCCTCGTCCCTGCGCCTACGGAGCACACGATGGATATTGTCGTTTGTGACGGTCGAACTGTTATAAGGAGGAAAACTACCGTGTACGCCATGGCCAACATCTTCGGCCAGTTACAACACCGAACATCTCCGACCCTAGCCGACGCCTGACTGAAGATGAGGAGCGTTTCACTTAAAAAGGCCTGATGACCGACAGTTCGACAGTCGTGCGCGAAGATTTCCACCGTGTGCTCTACAGCGAGTTGAAGCAGGTACAGTGACTACCGCGTGATTTAGTTTATAGTGAGTGCAGACTTGTGCAGCATCTCCCGCACATTGTCCTCCACAATTCGGGTCTGGTGTCAAGACCGAGTCAAGAAGACCGGAGGTGGGAGAGGGCGCGGGCGGCTGGCGCGTCTGGCGCGGACGAAGCCGCCCCTAGGCGTGCCGCCCTGACAGCCACATGATTTGAGTTTAAATTGCCCCGGTGGGATTGGGCTACCGCTGCCTGATGACGGCAAATAAGTCAGAAATGGCCATTCCACTGTCTCTTGTGTACGTCGGCGACACTCCTTCATTATCGACAGTCGGATACTACGAGAGCGTCCGCGTGAACGCAAGATCAGCAGCTTTAACGGAAAACGTGAATGCCCGTCTCCGTCCTGTGACCAGGATATATAAATAATATTCCTCACAGCATCTACCGCACCCTCTCCTCCCCCTGAACCCGGTGTTAGGACGGCTTCAAGAAGATCGGAGGCGGGATTCGGCGCAAATGGCTGACAGAGCTAAACAGCCGTCTACGTGTGCCACACACACACACGCCTGGTTCGCGTACGATGGACCCGGTTTTCACGCTAACAACAAAAGACAGTAGGGGGGAAAACACAAGCTTTGGTAGATATTCCGGTTGGAGCTTCAATGGTGGGAATGAAACATGGAATTCGACTGCATAATATTTTTTCCGGGCGTCTTAGTAGAAAAAAGGGTTCTGTGTGGGGAAGCCGAGAGACATTGCGGGATAAACAGCACTAAGGTGGTGAAATTCAGATAGGAAGCATCTCCAGAGTCTACATTAGAGACGTGATTCAAGGCTTACTGGGAGATGTACGAATCATAGATGCAGTCTTTTCAAAACTTGAACATCAAAGACTTGTTGGGTAAGCTGAGGAACAACAATTTCCACTGCTTTCTTGATCAGTCGATGACGGTGTGAACACGATTAAACCGCCGGACCGGAGGAATGATCAAGGAGGAGTGTTTTCGAGGAATACTGAGCTGATTTTGGGGAATTTTTCATACGAGAAGGCCACCTCGCCAGCAAGTGCGCTGGCGGCCTGACTGAAACCACTGCCCTTCCCCAACTTCGACAGGCTCCAATAAGCTTAATGTAGTGTGTGCGCTTCTCCAAATATGCGCAGTCACGGGGAGCCTTGTTTTTGTTTGCGTGAAGTACGACTCTGGCCACAACTCTGCGAATGTCACACAACTCTTTCTTCCCTGTCCTTTGGAAGCTGGCGGGCGATCATAATGAAGTAAAGACATTTGGGTAGAGATCGCAAAAATGACCCCCTAAAATATAAGGCAAAGTATCCCGTAAGGTCAGATGTGGTTATGTAGCCCGCCTAAAGCAAACAAACCCCAGTCACCCGAACTACGGGACCGGTGGTAATATGGGCCTTTACAGGTGGGGCCAGGGAACGCACAGGCGATGAGGTCCAGTAGTTGTATGCAAAAGAAAAGCTATTGGTAATGCGCGGTTATACTTTGAGTAGTTGAGAAATAGTTGCCCTAACCCTTAACCCTGACCCTAACCGTTAACCCAAACGCCTAACTCTAACCTCAAACCCAACAGGACTGTGTCCATCAGGTGGGGCTACATAACCACATCTTACCACCGGTAGTACGGCAATGTTGGTAATCAGAGTTTTAAAGGTGGGGCCCTTCAAGGCAGGATACACAAAGGCCTGAATTCTGAGGAGAGATGAAAATCACATTTGCACCGTATGCTTGTTTTACTATGCTAGGGAAGTATCGAAATAAACCCGCGTAAAGTAAGAGATTCACAGAACGAAGTTTTGGCAAATATCCTATCCCGACCAAAATGTATTTTAGCGCACGAGACATGGTCGAGGCCAGTTATTGACCTGAAGTTTTTGTTTGATGTTGAATTACCAGTAGAAACCTCCTGCAATGTGCAGTCCTTGATTTGAAATAACCTAAATGACCGGCGTGCTTGCCTTAAAAGATAACACATTTAAAGTCATTATACCACCTGTTACAGTCACCGTTTCCGGCGGTCAAGTGGACCACAAGGGATGAAGAATCAATGCCACCTGACACAACAAGGGCACGCACCAAGCCCCAGACCCTTTAACGCCCTTCGTCCGGGCGCAGGAAGCTAGTATGTTGACAACCCGGTGTGCGGAGGGGGGGGGCGGAGGCTGAGGCACGAACCGGAACAAGTGACCTGACCGACAGCACAGGAGTCAGGCTAACCACTTGAGTGTCAAGTGCGGCAGCTGTGTCACAGCGTTCGTCGGGACAGGCGGGGGGGGGGGTTATGTCGTCGCTGAGCGACAGTTGCGCAAGCCACGACAGCTAAAACCACTGTACGTGGACGGCGAAAACCGCAATCGGTTGACAGCTGATGCTGTCAAGTGACGACGTTAGTGGTCCAGGCTAGTTATTACTATTATTCGATGTCTTCGAAGTAGTAGTAGTAGTAGTAGTAGTAGTAGTAGTAGTAGTAGTAGTAGTAGTAGTAGTAGTAGTAGTAGTAGTAGTAGTAGTAGTAGTAGTAGTAGTAGTAGTAGTAGTAGTAGTAGTAGTAGTAGTAGTAGTAGTGGTTATTTTGGCTTTTAGTGCCCCCGCGAGACAAACCATAACACTGCTTCCTCACCAAACTCTGAGGCTTGAGGTCCGGCCAGAAACTGATCTTGAAACGGAGAAGTTTGCGGCACAAAGGGTTAGGTACGGAAAAACAGAGGAGACACCATCGTTTCAGGCTCATTCCTGTCATTCATTAGTCAGATGTGGTTATGTAACCCCACCGGAAGTAAACAAACCCCAGCCACCTCTAATACAGGACCGGTGGTAATATGGGTTTTTACAGATGGGGCCGGGGAACGCACAGACGTCGAGGTCAAGTATTTGTATGCAAAAGAAAAGCTATTTGGAATGTGCGGTTGTACTTTGAGTGATTGAGAAATAGTTGTGCTAACTCCTAACCCTTAACCCCTAACTCTAGCCCCTGACCCCAACCCTAACCCATAACCGGTAAGATCGCAGTTGGTAGCCAGACATTATACGTTGATACTGTCGATGTACGTACATGTTATCAGTAGGTGTGCTTACCTTGTCTAGGGAACTTGTCATCAGTGGGTGTGCTCTTAATGAGTTAGGCAGGTAGCCCGTTTCGGTCAGGCCGTTGGGTTTAGTGAGGGTTAGGGTTAGGCGTAGGTTAAGTTTTAGGATTAGGGTTTGTGTTTTAGGGCCTGGTTTCAGTGTTAGGGTTAGAGTTTAGGTTCCCGTTAGGGTTACGGTTAAGGTTAGGGTTAGGGTTAGAGTTAGGGTTTTGGCTAGGTTTTGGGTTAGCGTTGGGTTTTAGGATTTTGGTTACGTTTCGGTGTTGAGGCTTAGGGCTAGGTTTTATGGTTGCGGTCAGGGTTGGATTTTATGGTTAAGCGTAGGGTTTACATTTCTGCCATTATCCATACCTACTTAAAGCTTCCCACACTTTCCCTGGTAGCTTTTTCTTTTACTCAGAAACTCCAGCATTCCTCTACCATCCCTTCCATTTACCCCACCCATATAACCCTCTTTCCCACCATTCCCGTGCGACAGGGACCTGGCTGTCTGCCTCCCCATTCCTGGCTACCAACTGCGATCTAACCCCCTAACCTCTAACCCTAACCCATAACCCTAATCCCTAACCCTAACCCCAACAGTATTGTGTCCATCAGGTGTGGAACACGTGGGGCTTGAACTCGCGACCTGTTAGTTAGAAGTCCAACGCCTCTAACCACTGAGCCACGGGCTCGTAAGGCACAACAGAAGGAGTGAGTTCCGTAAGAACGATCGGTGAGCGCCTCTCTACCATTTTATATTCCCTATCGAAACCGACAGGACAACGAGCCAGTGCCTCAGTGGTTAGAGGCGTTGGACTTCTAACTAACAGGTCGCGAGTTCGAGCCCCAGGTGTTCCACACTTCGGGGTTGGGTATTTCTGCCTGACGACGGCCAGTAAGCCAGAAATGACCGTTCCAGTCTCCCTTGTCTTTGTCGGTACTAACATTCTAAGATTACGGTCACCAACACGTGCTTTCCACGAAACCGCTTTGTACCAATTGCACAGAGAAATAATTGCATGAACATGTCGTCTGTGCAACCTTCGCCGGTCTTGTTCGAATTGTAGCCCAACTGCAATTTTTCGGAAATAATACGCAGTTTACTGATGGCTTTATAAAGTCAGCTGCTCCTAATGGACGTCTGAATGAACCTAGAAGTGTTGTCGAAAAAGACGAAAGAGGCCGGCGTGGTCATTTTTGACTCATATACCGTCACTAGCCAGGTCTTATCCAATACCGGACGTAAAATACTTGAGATGTCCACTGACAGTTGGACGTTTTAGCTAGACGCTCTACCCCTTGAGATACGGATCCAAGTCCTGTCGGTTATCCTGGCGTAATCGCCCGTACTCCGTTCTGCATTCCGGGTGATTGTTGAGGAACACTCCCTGTGTGATTGTAAAGCCAGCTGTCTTGATAGGGGTCTCGTGCACATATAACCGCATTCGTCTGGATCCATCCGAGATGGAGATCTTCAACAGCCTATTAGGGACCTCATCAGCCGCAGGACCCCCGGGGAATCCCGACACCTCCACAAGTGGCACCTGCTTATAGGTTCAATCAAGTGTAAAGGGGAAGGAGGTATCGAGGCCACGGAGTGAGGGGGGGGGGGACAGTGGGACAGCCGACTTATTGCGCGTATTCACTTGTGCGTTGCGTAATCTTTGTTAGTGTCGCGGCGTGTCAGCTGCCAGTGAAGAGGTCGGGTTTGTGCTGAAGTGGTTGACAGATGCGTCGCAGGCCTAGAGGGGAGGGGGGGGACAGGGAGGACCGCATAACCAAACCATCCCAGCCCACAGAAGACCCACAAAACTAACATAACCACGCACACTTGAAAAGCCTACTAGCGGTGCCCCTGATGACCCGTTTAAAAGGCCCATCGTAATTAGTGTCCTCTTCGATGAGGTCCTAACAGGAGTCGCTAATAAGGAACCCAATCTGGGCATGGAGGGCCCAGTGACAAAACACTTGGGGCTGCGCTCAAGTGTGACATAGGAGTTGTTGGGCGACAGCTCGTCTGCCATACCTGATAGGAACCTCATTATTTGGGTTGCATGGATGACTTGCGCCTGAATGGTATTATGCTGATGACGGCTATCATAGTAATGACTTCCTGTGGACATAATTTTTGGGCGGAAAGCGCAGCTGAAGTCGGCCGGGCAGTTGTTGCAACTCGCCGAAGGGCATGCCCTAACAATACCCTAATCGCAGACGCAAATTTCGTTCATGGTCTGGTGCCATTTTGCGGTCACGGGAGGCACAATACGACAGACTCCTCATGACAAACAGCGGGGACTAGCGTTGCCTCCAGAGGCGTGGTGACGACATCTGCACCAAGTGGTTGGTGGTGAAGGAGATTTCCACAGCATCCACATCTTTCCAAACTCATTACGTTCTACCGTCGAGGGAAAGCCGACAGAACTGGGACGCAGTGCCGGATTAACGTCACGCGCGCTGCAAACATGCTGATGCGTAGACGCACACTAAACCGATCTGAAAGGGTGACCTGCAGTCTTACGTAAATCATAAATGCCATAAAGACTCGCTTGAGTTTATGCAGTGAGTGACCGATCTTATGAAATGTTGGCCGGTATTCTTAAATGTGTTTTTGATTAGGAAGGATTACTTAGGCGCCGTTGTAGTACTGATTATCTTGCGGCATAATCCTGCAATATTTCGAACTCGGTAGGATACCACCTTTGGATACACTACTTTTCAATCTCCTATAGAAACCGTCCTGGGTCAAAAAATGACTGCTTATGTAGCATGCATTTTTCTCATTGATTTTCGATGGTCTTACAAATCCAAATGTATTTTATAGAAACAAAGGATAAACATATGCTTTCTTTCGGTCGTTTGATAGAGAATCACGTCATCTTTATATTTTATACTCGAAGGTTTTAAAAAAGTTTCTTACCTGTCCGTTTGTCACTGCTCCTCCTGAAATGTACAACATAGTCCGCATCCATTGCAAAAGTTTATGAATTCTATATAATATCTTTTTAAAGGCACAGAAGAATATGTGATTTTCTTTAAACGGAACGCATGCACCTTGTAGACTGAAATCACTAAGCGCAGGTGCAACGACTGATTATGCTCCAAATTATTCGGCAATGAAGATACTTTTTAAAACCTAATTATACTCCTTCTTCTGGTATAAAACATAAATATGACGTGATTTTCTATCAAACGACTGAAAGAAAGCATATTTTTATCCTTTGTTTCTATAAAATATATTTGAATTTGCAAGACCACCGAAAATTGATGGGAAAAATGCATGTTACGTAAGTCGTCATTGTTTACCGACTAAGGTTTCTACAGAATATTGAAAAGCAGTGTATTTAAAAGCCGACATCCTGCCGAGTCCGAAATATTATAGGTATATGCCGCAAGATAATCAGTACTACAACCGCATCTAAGTAACCCTTCCCAATGGAAAACGCAGTTCAGAATTGCAGCCAACATTTACTGAGATCGGTCATTCACTGTACCTACACAGGTCCGATTTGACGCATTCGCATTGCCCATACACGAGCATAGGCTGGCTGCGCGACGAGGCGACGAATTATCGCAAGTGGCTGGCCACACCTACGAAATGGGTCATTAATTTAAGGTCCCGGCAACCAAGAAAAACCACCCACTCGGCAAACAAAGCGGGCCGAGGATTAAGCGAAGTGTGGGCCTCAGATGAGAACGCAGGCAACCGCTGTTTCTATTGCCCTGTATGTTGGGTTGCCTTTCCTGGAAGCGGATTGTTCCGTTAAATGTAAGTAGGATGGTGATATTTGTGGTCGCTACAACAACAGCAACAGCAACAACAACAACAACAACAACAACAACAACAACTACTACTACTACTACTACTACTACTACTACTACTACTACTACTACTACTACTACTACTACTACTACTACTACTACTACTACTACTACTACTACTACTACTACTGTTCAAGTGATTCGTTTCTGACAATTACGTCTGCCGAGTGTTTCAAGCAAGTCCAAAGTCGAGTCAAAACAGAACCTGGTGCTTTCCCCACACATCCCGTCAGCCTAAAGATCGAAGAGTTTACGAAACCACAATAAGCGCGCGCTATTGCCATTGCATCATACGCTGCTGTCGGAATAAAATCTTCCGTTATGCGTCCAGTGAAAATGGTTTTTATTCGTTTATTTCAATGTTCCTGGTGGGAACATAGACTTTAATCCATCCACAGTGTTCTTGTCCCTCCCATTTTACATTCCTCTCTTCACTAGTGGACGCATTGAGGGGGCGAGATCCCGGTGCTCTTTTAACCCCCAGACTCTCAGCCAGTCTGCAACTTGTTCGTTGACCCGGAGGGTTTCGACACACGCACACACACAGATGTACAAGCCTTCACGTGCGCGCCACTGTCTGGCCGACAGCGTAAAAAACATCAGATCTTAATCAGTCGGGCCTCCCCGATGTCGAGTCGCAGGTCGCCAGACTTGTGTCACATGCGGGTGCAGTACGTGTGTCTGCTAGGTTCTTCACTGAGAACACCTGTCAATCCAGACATTCATGGGCTGGGCCTCGGAATTTTGATCGAGAGTGGGGGGGCGGGGGAGGGGCTAGGCAAATGAGGGGGTGGGCACGCTGGGACAGGACGGAGAAACATCACATCATTTTGGCAGAGGACTCGGCTGGACCACCGGCCAAAGGGGAAGCAGTACCACGTGCATCAACGTTGAACCGGCTGTTTAAAGGCACTTATCTACCCATAAACAATAACCTATGAGTGTACAAGTGTGCCATAACAGCCACAATTTCTGGTCATCGGTCAGCCATATCCAAACCGCAGGTTGGGGGAACCCGAGGTTTGTACTCTGGGCCCGGCCTGTCATTGAACCGCTGGTTAACTTCCAGTGGGCTGCAACCAGAGCGGCTCTCGTGGTTGGATTGTTTTCTGGTTTGAAGACTTTTTGCGTCTCCTACTCAGTTGGTCCAGTCTGACAATAGGAAATCCCCTCTTCTTTCTAGTTACTGTGGAGGGCTTAAGTGTTCTGTTTTGCCTCCTTACCTCAGATCACCCAATGACTGCTTATATGTTAATTATGCTGGCGCTAGGATTGTTGATCATGCTGTTTAAAAAGAGACTCGTCTCACTCTCTGAAGGATGGCACGGTTGTTGGAAAATGGCCTTCTTCTCCATAATCAGAAATCAGTCCAGTGGGTGTTTCGACTGCGACCATATCCAATTCCCGAATCTTTTGACATTCTTCCAAATGGGGTATCGTCTTTCCGGTATCTGGACATTACTCTGCCCTGAAATTGCTCTTTCTTCCTTCACGCTGAAATCCTTTTAGTAAAATGCATAAGCTTATTTATTACATTGGACGTTTACGCTCCTACCACGTCTATTCAGCCATTGGTCTGGCGATTCAAGGGTACCTGCATCCTTCCTCGCATTCCTTGCCGTTCTACTGCCATTGTTCCTGCATTGCTTAAAAACGATAAGATCATTTTAGCACGTGTCTTCCAAATGCTCTTTTCTACAGCTGTCTTATTTCTTTTTGGTTGGTATCTCAGTATAAAGACATCTCACAATGATCAACCAATTTGCTGATCAAATAATAGGTGCCGTATGTTGCCCATCACCTTCGCCCTGAATCAATTGCGTCGAAGTCTTTCCGCCCCATGCACCGAGGCTTTGCTTAAACAATATATGCTCAGATGAAGGCGCATCCTTCGAATTCTCTCTTCTACTGTGGATGTTTTCGATGTCTTTTTCGGTTGATAGCCTAGCACAAGGTTACTTCATTGCGGTCAAGCAGTTTGCTGATGGAATTCTGGGTGATGTTGTCCATCCCCTTCGCTCCGAGTTAATTGCCATGAAGCCCGTCCGCTCCCATTTGTCGTGGCTTCCAGTACGCCAACGTTTCGCATTATCACGTCTCTTACGTTTAAAGAGACTTAAATACAGATGCTCGGACCATCTCTATGAGAGTTATGCCGTTTTATTTAGTCCTGTTTACTCTCTCGTTATTTATTTAATCGAATACTGGACGAGGTGAATGTAGGACACTTTTACGGAAAATTTTGGTATTATGCTTTCAGAATAAAGCGACAACCTTCTGCTTTCAAATAATAACTGATAAAAAGTTACTTAACCCCCTAAATCCACCAAACATAAGGACACTTTTAAACTTCCGGGAGAAAATCAATCATTATCATAACATTTTAGGTAAGGATAGGACAAAGAACCTTTCCCGTGCTTTGGGCGAGTGAATGCAAAACGGGATAGACGCTCATGTTAATCACACTAGCATTCTGTTGTTAGTCTCCTCAGACTCCTAAATATCGTCTGATTGTTTGAGTAAGTAGAGAAATACATTACTTTGGTCGGACTTTTTTTAATATTTCAGGTTACGGTTGACAGAGCTTGAACCCGAGGCTCAATGGAAGACCGGATCAGGGACAAAAAGCTCCGGTCTTCCCAATCCGTGGTTTAAATATGACTGACTGATGATGAGGACACGCAGGCCAGAAACGGCAGCTTCACTCGTCCTGGTCCCTGAGAGTAATAGCTCCCCATTGGTCAACTCCTCCTCTCCATGCTACCGTCTGCTGTGGTTTTAGACTGCGAAGCAAAACGGAGAGCCCACCTCATCATGTAATCGGGCGGGATAGGTGAGCGTCGCCTTCACATGCTTGACCAACTCCTGTTCACCCCGGTGGAGATTTAGACGCCGAATTCAAAACTCGGGGTTAATCGCAGAACCCTACCACTGGTGTAAGGTTCCAATAGCACAAAGAGAGAGAGGGGGGTTGTGTTTGTCAGCAACATTCTCTCTAAAAAAGAGCAACTGTGTCTCTGCTGAATCTGCTAAACGGAATCTTCTGCTCAGGTTAGCAAAAGTAAGAGATCGGGGTCGATAATCTGAGGAAAGGAAAGTGCTCACCGGATCGAGGGACTTTTTTGGCTGACGTTTCGAAGATCTTGGACGGCTTTCCATTATCAAAGCGTCTGGCGCAAAAATCAATCAGAAGGGCGGAAATTGCAGACCCGCCTACATGAGCACAAACTGGCAACTCGGAGACTAGATCCCAACTGACGGCTTGCGGCTCACATCGGGGAAACTGGTCACAGTTTGAATTTTCAAGGAGCAGCCGTCTTAGACAGGAGCACCTCATGGACAGAATTTCTCGCACTTGAGGCTTGGTACTCAAATGCCAACTCCATCAACAGACACCTAGACCTTCCTTCGGCCTATAAAGTCCTACGTCACTATGTATACTGTGACGAAGACAAGACAGTCATACGGACCCTAAGAATACCGAGCCAACACGGCCTGTCGACCAATTCACCCAAAGCGGGACGCAAACGCAACTAACCCCAATTGAGTTGACGACACACAATACAGGAGGCCACCAACACTCACAAGCGACGGCCGGTAGGCCAAGGCAGCGAAAGAGGAAAAAAAATCAATCAGCCCAGGGCCAACTTATTCGGCTGTCTATTCAAAATTCCGATCGACTTTCGCACTAGACGCTTTGACAATGGAGAGCCGTCCAAGCTCATCGAAACTTCAGCCAAACAAGTCCATCGATCCGGTGAGTACTTCCTTTTCCTCAGAAATCTTCCACACTTGCCGGCAAGCCAACGCATCCGTGACACACAATGAGTTCGGTCGGGACGATTAATCCAGAGCAATAAACTGCTACATGGGCACTACTTACGACATCCTAAGTTAGCACACCGCCATTTTGGCCCATAAGCGTGACGTTATAGGAAGAAGTAACCACATGAACACGGACAATCCTAAACCTACTTTGTAGATGGTTAATTCTTCAAGAATACAATATTTACAGCTCAGTGTGCAGAGACATGAAACTTAATTTTGTTCTGTGCTAGCGTCCCAGCTATTCTCATCATGAAATGGTGCAGTTTGAAGTCTGACGCTAGTGAATTTTAGATCGAGTTGAAATGGCATGGTCCACTTTTTTTCAAAAATCGAATCATGCTGGACTCCGGAGCTCCACCAAGGGAACCCGCTCCATAAAGGACCGCCCCAAATTATTGCAAACGGTCAGACAAAAATGCGGAGGTTGCATAATTTTCGACTTTGACAGCCTCTGTCCTTACGTTCCGTAGGTTTTCCGATTGAGTATCTGTTATTTGATAAAATCTTCTATGACAGTTCCACTAGCGCAAACGGCGTTGTCTAGCGTTTGTCCTACGCCGTGGTGGGCGCAGAGACGGTGACTGGTGACCAAATGTAGGTCAGGACGACCGGAAGCCGGCTCGGGTTGACAAAGCCTAACAGTCCGTCTACGTGTGCCACACACGCGCCCGGTCCGTGCAAAATGGACCAAGTTCACGAATGAAGGCGAGATTTCGAGTTCCAGGTGTATGCGTAAGTGAGGAAGAAGAAGAAGAAGAAGAAGAAGAAGATGATGATGATGATGATGATGATGATGATGATGAGGAGGAGGAGGAGGAGGAGGAGAGGTCGAGCACCGGAACATTTTGTTTTTTGTCCTGGGCTTTCGAACTCGTGCAGCAGTCTATCCTCAGAGGTAGCAGCAGCAACAGAACGAGCGACAGTTATAGGGCGCGTAGGCCAATCATCGACCGACGGCGCAAGACTGGAGGTGACTGAGCAGGGCTCTGTATGCCGGCGCCAGATCGATACATCGATGAACCGAGTTCTCATCCGAGGCCCAGACTTCAATCAACTCTCGGCCTGTTTTGTTTCCGACGCGGGCGACCACTTTGGTGGCTGCGATGTTAAACTCGTGACCCATATCGTAGGTGCGGGCTGCCACTGTGATGATGCGTCGCCTCTTTGCACACCCAGACTATGTTCGTGTGTACACTATACGAGCATGCGCCCAGTCTGGCCTGTGTAATTACAAGGGCAGTTTTGGCACGGGATGCGATACACTACTCCAGATTTCTCCACAGGCTTTAACCGGTCTTTAGTTTTCATGACCCTACTGCGTATGATGGCTTTGGGGCGGAGTGCAATTCCAACACCTAGCTCCACAGAAATGTGCTCTGTCGCTTCTGAAACGCCCTTGATGTATGGCAGAGAATGCCATATCGTTGGTGGTGTTGATGTTTGAGTCCTCTGTGGGCGACCGCTTAGGCAGCGACTTATGAATGCCCTCGGTTAGCCATTTCGCACAAAGTGGTCGCGGAGATAACGGGCCTCATGTGCTCTATCCTCCGGTTTGCTGCAATGAGGTTTGGGTCCGTTTGAAGAGCGTCTTCACATAGCTTCGTTTGTGAGTCGCCAAATGGTTGCTGTGAAAACTGAGAAGCTGTGTGGTGTTCGTTGCCTTCCTGTAAACCGTCGTTTCAAGTTCACCGTTAAGGTTTCGTCTGACAAGTACGTCCAGGAAGGGCAACTGCTGTTCCTGTTCTTTTTCCCTCGTGAATTTTATATCAGGTAAGACTGCGTTGAGCAGGCTGTGGAAATGGTGCAGCATGTCCTTCTTTACGGTGACCAACGTGTGATCTACGCAACGGAGTCAAAATACCGGCTCATATTGGATGAAAACAAACTTTTCTAACTCTTGTAGGACCAGTTCTGCCAAGTTCTCATAGAAAAAAGGGGTGGTCGACTCAGACCCCACCAGCATGGAAGTGTCACAGAGGCCACATCGAGGAGTCACCGAGTCTGACTCTCAGTTCACCAGTCAGTCACTCCACACACGCGTTTGCGCCTGCTATTGGCGTGGCCGAGGAGGGCCTTCACTTGCTCAGCCTACGCTAACAAAATAACCCCTTCGCCGCCTCCAAGCAAGTCATTCGGCAGATTATCGATCAGTCGACACGGCTGGGACTGAAAGCACCTCACCTGCAAACGATTGCCGCGGCCACCGGCCCCGTAACCGCCGGCGTACATGAAGCCGCAATGCCCTAGCAACTGGCAATAACTACAGCGGACCGGCGCGCGAACGCTGATCCGGTAATTGCGCAACTTACCCCTTGACCTGGAGCTCAGTTGCTGCTAGCGCTGCGGAGTACAGTATTGGCCGCCAGTTGCTCACCGAAGATCTAATAACACCCGCATCACGACCCATCGAACCTCGCGAGTCATCGCATCTCTCAAATGCGAGCAGGCATGCCCGTTGCGAAAGTAGCGCCGCCAAACGAAAACCCCATGACTTCGGGTGGTTGGAATGCGGACTGTTGGATCCCATCAACGACCACGACGGTGTTGTGTTGATAATAGTGTCTTATGGTAGGAATTATTTCAGTAATGATTGGTTCGGTAAACCTCTACGCATGCTGGAACAGTAAAAAAAAATACAAAATTTAAAAAGACTGTGCATCAGTACCTGCACCACCGCTGTACAAAGCACGGAACGTTTTACAGCTGTGGTTTTTCACAACATGAAGACTCCAGCAACGTCTAAACCCGCGTCAAAAGCTTATCCAAGACAAAACCGAATGGTCGTATTTCATCCCACAATTAAATCCGATGGGTAAATGACACTCGCATGCGACTTCCAACATCGTGTAGAATGGAGACTGAAGAGTCAGAGCGTTAAACGCAAATATCGGATCTTACCGGCCCGGGGGTTGTGCTATTACTGGTCGAGAACAGCCAATTAGCCAGAAATGTCTCCCCGGACTCCTTGTATTCGTCAGTATAACGTCGCAATCATTGACTGATCGTCGTTATGTGAGCTCTAGCCAAGGTTCTGGATCGAAGCAGCATGGCAAATAAATACAATGGTACTACATTCTTCAATTTATGGCTGTCATTTATATGTGCCCTGTCAAATCGCACATATGCATAAGGATTGATATCTTACCCAAACGGCGATAAAAATACATATTGTGAGCACCCTTGGGCATACCCAGTAGCAGACTTGTCGTTGAGGTGCCACTAACTACGCCCGTGCAATCTATCCTGTAATGCTCTAAGCAAAACTACTGAACAACTTTCGCTAGCCACACATGGCAGTTCAGTAGAAACAGGTAACACACTTTAAACCAAATTTTGCGGCTGCCTTTCAATCCCGCCCTGCATTCCGTAATATCAATGAAAACTGGACAGTCATATGAATTTGCTTAGGAGATTCCTTCCGGATGAAGAATAGAATTATGTTTGAGGGAGAGCGACTTCTTAGAAGTGTAATCGGGTAGAGTCTATAAAGTTACCTTGAAGTCAAAAATCCCCACTTATTCCCTTACGTGGAACACAATGAAGACACAAGACTGGTCGCTAAAAGTGCCTGTTGCTCAGATGGCTTACTGGACACTATGATCGATCTTACCCCTGGACTGCATCCAAGACAGAGTGGAGGCACTATCCTGCCAGCCTTGTCCACACCTTGACGGCATGTTTTGCTCCAACACATTCCATTCGTTTAACCTCGAAAAGGAGTAGCTGGAGTTTCCGTCCCGAAAACACTGACTTCCCCTCTCATTGGGAAGATTTTAAGGGTATGATATGTAACCCTCCGTAGGTGGACTGTAATTAGCCGCAAACCTAACACCAACCATGGTCATGCCTTAAACGAGAAATCCCCAACTCGTAAGCATTTAAGGAAAACTCGGGCGTAACCGCAACCTTAAGTCAAGCCCTAAAACCCTAACCCAAGCCTGGAAAACCTAATCCCAAGAATAATCCAACTTGGGCAACTTTGATGTCGATAACGCTATCGGAGATCAAAATCCGTCTTCTATATAACCCCTATTACAATCTACTGCCTGGGAAACTTATGAAGCACACCTAACTCAGTAAGATAAGAAGGTAGGCTTTTGAGCAAACACCCAGGAGGGTTATATACCTTATTCCTATCAGGCATTGAAATAACTCGAGTTTTTCTTGCATATGAAATTTTTGTCCCCCCCCCTTTTTATTTTAAGGGATCTTCTACTGTACCAACACTGTTGTCTTTCATCCATTTAGGAATTCGGATCCGTACGACTGGTGCCTTACGTAGTGCCCTAACCGCTGTGGAGAACCACGCCGTCCGCGCGTTTCCTCCAAACTTCGACACGTTTACGAGGAGCTTTAGGAAGACTTGTATGCAACACCTCAGGCTAACCTCTTCCTAAACGACGAACAGTTGTCCGAGATGTTTGATTAAAAATTAGCCTAACTACAATTATAAAAATCAACCCCTCCCGCCTCCTCCTCCTCCTCCTCCT